TGAGTAATTAATAAGTAAGTAAGTAAGTCAGTCAGTCAGTTAATCATTCAGTCAGTCAGTCAGTCAGTGAAGTGCGTGAGTGACTCAGTGAGTTAATGAGTGAGTGAGTGAGTGAGTGAGTGAGTGAGTGAGTGAGTGAGTGAGTGAGTGAGTGAGTGAGTGAGAAAACAAATTTGGTAAGAGGAAGAAAAAATGAGATGAGAGTGAGCCTTGCCTTCATTGTAATCCCGTATACTCGAGTATACCGACGGGCGATGATAGAAGTCGCGATAGAGGTTTAGATTGTCTTCCCGAGAAAGCTTGTCATCCGTGTCGTAGATTACCTGGGAGAGAGAGAGAGAGAGAGAGAGAGAGAGAGAGAGAGAGAGAGAGAGAGAGAGGGGGTGATTGATGGGAGGAGGAGGAGGGGGAGGAAAATGATACACATATATTTTTTGTACATAAAACTATTTATTCATCGAGGAGGGCATTTGAAGACAGCAAATTGTCAAGATATTTGAAGTTATCAACATATTTTAGTGTTGTGTCATGTTCATGTATTTTGATTTCAGATGGCAGCTCAATGTCTTATTCATCCAAACCAACAAAGCCTCCAAAATCACACTGCCGAACTGAACAACAGCAGCGAGAAATTTGACATGAAAACAAACACATCAAAAACGGAAGTTCTGAAAGTGAGTCGAAAAGATAGTCCCCTGAACATCCAAACATCTCCATGGACACAAAGAGACAGTTTATCACTTTCATATCTATACCAACATTATGATACCAGTGTCAGGCCTGGGCATTAAGTAAAACCTAAGAAAACAAAACCACTGCATGCGAGACGAGCGAAATGTCTCCGCCAAACCCTTAGCATCACAAGAAGAGACAGGCAGAGAAAGGAAAAAGTAAGAGCGACTATTGGCACTGAGTCCTATTGTCCTGTTTGCATTTCATAGGAAAAACAGAGACTGAAATGGTTTGGCCACCAGTTACGAATGTCACCTCGCCAGCCAGCCTCTTGAGCCTGTAACACCAAGTACTCATTCTATAAAGGAAGAGGTAGACCACGCAAAAGATGGCTTGCCGGAGTCAAGGAAACCCTTAACAGCAACAAAAATGGCAAAGTAAAAGTAGGTAATTTTATACTTAATACATGTCAATACACTCCAATGTAAAAAGATTAATGTTGAGTGATCATACCTCGGGCGAATTTTATTGTATATGAAACATTAATATGTCAGATAATGCAGAATTCACTAAGCTTTACATTAGCAAGCTGCATGAGTGGATAATGTAAGGCTTTAATCCGATAACTGGGTGAATACATTCTCAAGTTTCTTTTGGACGCCACTGTGTTTGTGTGTGTGTGCGTGTGTGTGTGTGAGTGTGTGTGTATGTCTCTGTGTGTGCGTGTGCGTGTGTGTGTGTGTGTGTGTGTGTGTGTGTGTGTGTGTGTGTGTGTGTGTCACGACGCGGTGGAATCAGGCGCTCGTTTATATTTGGACAGTAGCGTCATTGGGGTATCATGTAAAAGCTGATTTATCTGCCTTGCCTTCAGTGAAATAACATAATATATCTATCTGGAATAGAACTCAAAATATCTGCATTTGAAGGAAGTGAGGTCACCTGGTTTCAGTGGTGAAATTTGCCAAGAAAAGGCCGTCAAAGTTTGGTAACTCCAATAGCTAAAGAGTCTTTTTTATTTTTAGAACTCGGTAAAACCCAAAAATGAAAATTCGAAAAAATAATTCCTAACTGGCGGGAAATGCCTGATTTTCCGATTCCGTTATTTTGACGAGCACCAGATCCTACCACGCTCTCTCTCT